ATTCATTTTCAGTAGAGTAGACTCAACTCAAGGATCATACTTCCTCAAGGATTGCTTATTTATTTCACATTCATCTGAAGTGACTTCATCTTTTTGGACTATAAGCTATAGCAGGCAGAATTTGTGATTTTTGTTCATATTTTTAACTGATGAACAAATTTGCCCCTCTAATCATGTATTTCAGGAAAGAGTCACCTTTGCTGTCCTGGCCTATGTCTTTGTATTTTACATGACCAGTAACATATTTAGAGTCTGGTCTCTTTTAAGAGGAAAAAAGTGAACTTTGAAAACTGCCAGATCAACTTCATACACTGTGTGTAACCTGTGTTTTTCATTTTTCACAATGTTGTGTTTTATAACCCTCATCAATCAGACAAGCAAATTTCTTATGTTATAAACAGTTATAATTTGGAAAGTGTTGCAGTTTAATTTCTCACATCTGTCAGTCATACTCGTTGAAAGCTGTGTATAAGAGAAAACTGCAATAGTACACAGTGCCTATTCTACTGTAGTATATTAGTTGCATGGATCACAGTGCATTCTGTAATGGGCTAGAATTACCTATAGACACAGCTTTTTTAACGATCAAGTAAACCAAACATTAAATTCCTCATGACAAACCTATTTTTCCATTGCTGGCCTTTTCAAGTATTTCAATAAAATAACTGTGTACTGTGTCTGTGTTTGTCTTTTTCTTATTTTTCTTTACCTTCCTGTGCCCCAAAAGGTGGAGTTCACCAAAACTTTGTCCTTTATGTAAATGGATGCTGCCGGTGCTCTCACTTGGTGGAGGTTACAGTTTCTCTCATGCCTCCATTAGAAGTTCATTTCTGATTTATATCAGAAGACCAAAGTGCCTTCTATGATACTGTAAAGCTGAAATGCAAATAGTCAACCACGAACTTCGTGTTTAATGTCAAAGGCAAAGACTGGGAGAAAAGACCAAATAGTCAGTGGGGTATAGGAAGCTGTGGGCAGTGAATTGGTTAATACTTTCGTGTGGATGGAACAGGCTCCAGCAGTGCGGGCTCCCGGGGAGCTGTGGGGAGCCCCGGGATGCTCCGGAGGGAATCCCCGAGGAACCCCAGCCCGCCGGGAGCGGCCGCCTGAGGGCGCTGCCGCCGAGCTCACGGCGCAGGCGGGGGCGGGAAACGGCCCCGTGAGCCCGGCCCGGCCGGAGAGCCCGCTCCCGTGTGCTGCATCAGCCCGGCCCGGCCGGAGAGCCCGCTCCCGTGTGCTCCATCAGCCCGGCCCGGCCGGAGAGCCCGCTCCCGTGTGCTCCGTCAGCCCGGCCCGGCCGGAGAGCCCGTTCCCGAGCTGAAGGAGCGGCCCCCTCAGCCCGGCCCGGCGGGAGCGGGCTCTGCCGCCCGCTGAGGGAAGCGGCCCCGCCCTGAGGCGCTGCCTGCCCGCCCTCACGGCCCGAGGCGGCCAGCGCCGGCGAGGGACGGAGCGGATCCCCGCCTGCTTGTATAAAACAGCCCTTCCCCAGTGGTTTGGGGACAGGAATTTTCTTAGGGAACGGCATACAAGTCTTGCTGTCCAGCTCTGCTGTGGCCTCATCCAGGCGGTCGTTGGTGCTCCCTGAGGGAGCCCTGGTGCCACTGGCCAAGCCCTCCTGGATCCTAGGAGGATTAGAGCTACAGTGAGGGGAAATTCTTCTTCTCATGGAGCATATAATGAAGAATGTCCAAAAGTTAGCTGCTGCAATTAAGTGCTGGGAAGGAGCAGCACCCCAGCCCGCTTACTCTCAACAGCTATTTGTTTTATTTCTTCTGGTGCTGTCAGTTTTCTAACAACTTCTTTCCTTGTATTTTCCACAACCAGACTCAAATTCTTCCTGCTCAGTCTGATGCATGGGTTGCCTGACCATGGTGTAAAGTCACTGAAAGGACAAAGACCTTGATTCATCTTCCTTGGAGACACATCCCTCAGCTTTGACCTCTTGTCTGAAAGCTTGTCAGTTCAGGATTGATAATAAGCAAGACTTGATTTTATGTTGGAAATTAACCTTGAATTACTAACTGGTCTCCATTTCAAACAAGTATTTTGTTTAGGAAGGAATCTGTGTTATGATCCCAGCAGGTGACAGGTAAAAACAAGCAGACATCTTAAAACACCACAAGGCTGACCTGAGAGGAGAGCCCCCTTTTAAGACAACTGCCCCAAAAAAGGGTTAATGACAGATTTAATTATTTCCCTAACTATAACCAAAAAGACAGTTTGAATCAGTTGCAACCAATAACAGTTATTGTGGCAGCAGAGGGCTGCAGGTGGAAAGACTTGTGCTTTTTCAGTGCTGCATTTGGAAAGTTCTAAGTACAACATGGAATAGGGAGGGTCATGAGGATGGTCTTTCAAATCAGAAGAGGTTAGACTTTATTTTTTCCCACTATTCATTCAGGAGGGAGAGTAGCCATGAGTCAGGGGAAGCCAGATGGTAGCACATATAGTCCAATTCATATTGGTTCTGAAAGGTAAACTTGTCTTGTCCCAGCACGAGGAGTGTGATGCTCAGAGTCCTTTACCACTGTTACCTTTCAGACTTGAGTTTAAGCCCCTGTCTCAAACCATCTGTCCTTAGAGGTTTTTAGCTGTTTTCATGACTCTGAAGGGGTTAATCTGACAGGTCTGATCCAATCCCAGCTGTGTATGTGCTATATATGATCCTCCCAAGGTTGTGTTTGTGTGCAGCACTTTGGGGTTTTGATCTGAATGTTGCATTTTCCTTCAGAAGTTGCCTCCCAAGTCTGGCCAGGTGGCTGAGCTCTGGTATGGAAATCAAGCTGAGTAGGTTTCTCCACATAGTTCCAATTGTCAGAATTGGGAAGTTTTGTAAAAGCCCTTTGGGGCTACTTGGGGTGGAGGAAGGACTGGTGAACAAAGTGTTCAGATTCGACCCAGAGGGCTTAGCTAACAGATGTTGGCTGGGTCCCTGCTTTGAGGGGGGTTATTGCATATTCATGAGCTGACCTTTTGAGCCACTTCCAATGCGGGGAGGACGTACATCTACATTTTGTTTGCAGTATTTGGAATGGAAAAGTTGCCTATATGACTGAGTGTGAAAATGGATTGGGGTTTATTATCTCAAGTCCTTTCTGTCTGCATTTCTTCTGAAGCCCTTCTTTCTGCCTGCATCTGCTCTGGGTTGGCCCACAACCCCTTCAGTTTATCTAGCAATTACTGGCTTCCCAAGGTAGAGTCACCAGTGTATGCAGTGGGGAGAAATGGCATTCTAAATTAAGAGTCTCTCACACACTTGCAAAATGATAATTTGTCTGTAACAACACTCCTCATTAGAATACTGTTAATTTCCTTTCTGTGACAATTATAGCGCAGCATTAGCTCATATGTGCAATGTACAGAGATATTTCCCTGAATAAAAAAACAACCCAAAATCTATCATTACCACTAGTGGAAAACAGTCCTTGGAGGAGAAAAATGAACTTGTAATTTTGCAGAAATCTCAGTTTAGTAGGAGTTTGGTGTTAAGGTAAGGAGTTCTGGGGGTTCTCCCTGTTGTTGATTGCCTTCATGTTAGACTTCAGAGTTGGCATTTTCCCACTAGCATCTGGAATCAGAGATGATACAGTCCCCAACTGAGTGGAACCTGTTACCCCTGAAATTCAGCTCATGTGTTCTCTCTTTACTCTAAAAACTCGCTTCCCTCCTCCCTACAGACATCTTTAAATGACTGCTGTTTCTTTCTGTTGGCATAGCATATTTTTGCTTATCCATCTGTTTTGAAGTTTTGATGAGGTTTAGTTTTTCAATCAAAAAGAGATTGTTTGTATAATCACTGTTTAGTGCCTGGAATATTTTGGCAGGAGTGGTGTTGTATGAGTGAAGTGGGTTAGTGGTTCTCAGAAGTGCTGGATTTGGTATCCTGTTCTTATGCTTCAGGAGAGTAGGCTGGACAGGCTCTAGACCAGGCAGAAATGGCTCAAGGAATTGCCTTTAAATATGCAGAAGGTCTGCTCTGTTTCACTGATGTCATTAAGGGGACAGAAGCCCTCCTGTTCATCAGCTGCACTGAAGACCTCAGAAGAGCTTTTATTTTGTTGTCATTTTCCTACCTGAATCCTGAGCTTGAAAAGTTCTCTTCAGGTCCAAGGGCTTTAGTTTTACTTCTCTGCTCTACGCTCTGCTACTGCAGGATGGAAGATCCTGCTCCTTTTCCTGAGGTATTCTAGCTGATTTGTTTTAGTTTTAGTTTTTGTGGTTGGTTGATTTTTAAACGGGTTGTAGAGACAAGAGGGACTTCCAGCTTGGTTCTGTACTCACGGCTGGGGTGTGTCTGATCTGATACTGTACCTTTTCATCAAGAAAACATGGCCTGTGGTGCTGGACTCTGCTCTGACTGTGCTCTGACTGGCTTTTAGCAGAAAGCAGAGGCACTGGCACCGTGTGCATCAGCCTGGCTCTGCTCGCCCTTCCCCCTTGCCAACCGGCTATTTCTGTACTTGATTGGAAGAAGCTAAAACTGCTGGATTTTTGCCGGCAGTCAAGGCATTCCTCAAGTTCCTAATCCAGGCTCCAGATGGTTAAGTTGCCCATCCTGACATATAGGAACAAATAATTATGGTAAAAGCGGTGAAACCCCACACCAGCCTGTCACGGTGAGACAGAGAATCCGCCTGCAGGGAGCCCCGAAGAGCCGGCACGTCTGGTCACCTGTCCGCGGGCAGCAGGGCATGGCTGGAGCCGGCCGGGCCCAGCCGCAGGGGCTGCCCGGTGCCGGCCGCGGCCGAGCCTCCGCGGGTCGCCCGCGGCCAGGGGCCAGCGGTGCTGCTCCCCCCGCCGCCGCATCCTCGGACGTGCCGCAGCTCCGGGCTCTGCCTGCGAGAGCCCCCGGGACTCCCCCCGCGCCGGGAAGGGCGGACCCCCGTCCCCGGGCGATGGCTCGGGGGAGGCGCCGGTGGTGCCCGGGCCGGGGGCACCGCCCGGCCGCAGGGGCGGGAGGCGGGGAGGGGTCAGTGCCCCGGCCGGAGCCCGGCCGCCGGGATGCCGCCCGCCGGCGCTGCCCGCGCCAATTGGGTGTTCCGTGCATGGAGGATTTCCTCCCCTCCCGGCTGCGGGAGTCATGAAGGCATGCTCGGCTGCGCTTGAAAGTTTGCCAACCAGCAGCTAGGTTTAATTTCTTTAAGGATCTGGGGAGAAGGGGGGCGGGGGCTGGAGGGGGACCGTTTCCAAGCATGGGAGACAGGCTGCCGGAGCCTCACGCCAGCTCTTCCCCTGCTGTGGCTGCCAGCTCGGAGGCGGAAGAAATCGAGGTGCTGGACTCCGAAGATGTCCTACCTATGGCCGCAGAGGATGTAAGTTTCCTTTGCTCGGTATCTTCCCCCCTTTCCCCCGGGCCGGGATAATCGGCTCAAGTTATTCATAGCCGAAGCCCGGGATGCGCGCAGAGCGGGGCCGGTGACCTGCGGGACCAGGGAAAGCCGCCGTCCCCGCCGCCCTCCGCGCCTCCCAACGCTGGCTGTCTGCGGGCTCCAGCAGCCGCCGGGCTGCCTCCGTGCCCGGGGCCGCAGCTCCCGTCCTTCCGAGCCCCGGCGGCCCGGACAGGCTCCCGGCTCGCTGGTGCCCGCGGCCGGGGGGGAGATGCCCGCGGGTGGCGGCTGATCGGGCAGGGCATCGGACTGGCGCACGGACGCGACTCTGGAGCCTGGAGAGGAGCTGACGCCTTGTCTCGAGGGGCTGCCGGGGGACAGAGAGCTCCTCCAGAGTCACAGCCACCCTGAGGGTGACAGATGTGAAACGCTCCCGCTCTCGGGAGCGGCTCCCTCTTCCAGCCCCCGAGCAACAAACAGTCGAGTAAGTTTTCTCCTCGGCTCGACAGGGCTGATGGCTTCTCTCCACCTTCCGAGCTCTGATGGCACGTGAGGGTGGGATAACTTAGCACGGGCTCTCTGCTCCCCCAGCCCAGAAGGACGCGAAGGGGTCCCGGTGTGCTCCTGCCGTGCTGGGCGGCAGTGCCCGCAGGGCTGAGGCAGTTGTGCTGCATCTGCCGGAGCCGGAGGCAGGAGCTCGCCGTGCACCTGTCTGGGAGGGAGTGAGCGTCAGAGATCCTGCATTCCTGGTGCATCCCAGGACTGCTCACAGCTCTCATTGCCAGCAAACTCGGCTGGGATGAGGACTGAAAAGCGTCTACTCAGTCTGCAGCGGTAAATGCAGGGTCTGTTCCAGCCTGTCAGACATAAAGCAGAGATACTAAATGTCATTCTGAAGCGGGCTCTGGCTCGGGTCTTGCACCACTACAAAAGGGACACTTGGGAGCTGAGCGTTCAGCAATGGCACATCCCCTCGGCCCTCTCTCTGCCTTTTGGATGCTGCTGGAGGAAGCCGCGCAGCCATGCTTAGGACAGAGGCTGTTCTTCACCCTCCAGCCCTTCCTTCTGAATCCTTAGAATTCGGTTGCTGTTGGACTTTCCTCCCAGAGGGCAGTGGAGGAAGTGCAGTTGCTGGCTAGAGCTGCATTCCCCAGCCTGTGTGTCTGAGCACAGCGCAGTCAGGAGGGAGCGTGTGATGCAGGTTGACCTCTGCTACAACACTGCCAGACAGTCCTAAGAGGCGATGCCTGACTCAGGGGTGTGTGTAGCTTTGACTTGGAAAGGGTGGCTTTCCAGGAGCTTTCACAGTCCAGGTTTCCAAATCCCATTGCTTGCTTATGTCAGACTGTGACCTTTTCTTCTCTGACAAATTTTGTGCTTGTCTGGATGGTCCTACAAGAAAGATTTCCTGTTGTGATACACGTGAGCCCCTTGGAGTTGCTCCAGCCTCTACACAAACACAGCCATTAGCAATTCAATCCTGCCAGGGGGCCCAGGAGATGCTGAAATGCTGAGTGCCTGGCAGGATTGGGCTCCTGGGACAGGAGCTGTCCCTGATGAAGCCTAGATTCTCATCCCAGTTCTGCTGCTGCCTTCCTGCTTGACCTTGAGGTAGGACAGCTTGGGTCAGATCCAGCTTGCAGTGTCTTGCCATTACTTGCATTGTTATTTGACTCTGGTACCTGTTTTCTGTAATCAACAAAACTAGAGCCTGCAGCTGCACTGGTTATGGGAAGCTGCTGAGATCTGGCAATAGATGATGTGACAGAAGCCTGAGGTATCATGTATCATCTGCAAGTTAGAAAAGCAGGAAGTGGTGTAAATGCCCTCCTTCTACTCCGCCAAGATTCCCTGCTGAAACAAGCAGGCTACAGAGCATCAGCTCTGAAAATTTCAACTGCTCTGTGCTACTCTGTGCCCCCTGAGACCTAACTGGGGGTTGATTTTGTGTTGTTGCTATTACATCTGAAAGGCTGATGGAAGCTCTCTGGCTTGGCTGGCAAGAACTGACACAAGGTCAGTTCTTTATGTGTTATTAACCACAAAAATATAACACAGTGGAGGTTTGGCTGTCACAGCCTTGACAGTGTGTAACAGCTCAGCTGTGATGTCATTGTAGCTCTCAGAGCAGCATTCCATAAAGCCAGGGTTCAGACAGTCCCAAAATGTTCTGTTTAAAGTGCTGGACTGATTTATGATGATAAATGAGAGCTTATAAATGGAGAGAGACATGGGGAGGAGGGGAGCCAACAACTTAACTAATGAAAAGGAATTCAGTGGCCTGATACCCCATCTCTCCAGTCAATTCTGCTTTAGATTTGCCTACCATGTGAGAGAAAATGTTCTTCTACAACTAGATAAGACTCTTATCACATTTCTGCTTTGCTAACAGCACTGTGAGGAGATTTGCTTATAAGAGTCTGATATTTGTTGTTTTATTCAATTTGTTTCTTTTCTGGGAAGGTGAATGAGGCAGAGAAAACAACAGACCTGGAAATGTGCAAATGTTTCTGGGGATCCTAAGCCAGTAGTTACCCCAGTGCTGCCCTGTAGAAGTTGCTGTCTTCTCAACTGTCCCCTAAATCCAGGAGAGATGGGAGCCTTAAACAATTCAGTAGGAATTTCCTCTGTTTCATGGGACAGTGAGGCAGCAAGTCTGGGTCAGGGAGCTGAGTTGATATCAGCCTCTGTACAAAACATAAATCAGAGCTAGTTTCCATCTTATTTTTTCTGTTTTCAAGTGACAAGGACTTGTGGAGTGTTCACATGGTTGTGAACATTGAAGTGGAGCTTCCTCCTATAGAGCATTTTTAAGGCAGATGTGATAGAACAAAAGATGTGGGGTAAATCCTTGCAGTGGGCTCTCCCCAGCCTTCCACCCTCCCACCTAGCACAAGAGGAATTACCTATTTTTCAGATGGGGACATGTGAGGCTCAGAGAACTGATAGGTTATGAAAAGTCTGCAGAAAGCCAGTCAGGAGCAGGCAGTAGACAGGGCTCTGATAACCCAGCAAAGTAATTGATGGGTCAGTGTTGGGCCACAGGATCTCAGAAAGTGATCTGGAAAAACATTGCTAATTTGTTCTTTCCCTTAATATACACAGAGCTTTCTTGATCTCTGTGAGTAAAATCCCTTTTTTTCATTGCTTGCCTGCAAATAGACAAAGTGGGAGAAAACAGAATTATCACATGAATATTTTGAGTTCATCCTAATTTGGATTTGTAAATGAAAACTGTTCTCCCTGTGTTTGGTAGATTCCCCTTCCTCCTCCTCCGGAAGGATAGGTGATTCTGGGATGAAGAAGGATGTTGGAAATGGCATTAAATCATTTGGTTATTTCTCTGTTAGAATATACTTCTACAGTTTACTGCATGTTAATGTCTTTGCTCTTATACCTTCTTTTTATTCTTTTTCCTCCCTTATGCTGCCTCTCAGCACTGGAAAGTCCTATTTGATCAGGTATGTGAACAACTGATATATTCTCTCTGTCTTGTGAGCAAAGAGCCTAACCTCTGGTTAATTACCTCTGTACTGTCTTCCCTGCATTTAAAATACAGCCTAGGAGTGATGTGCTGCATGCTCCCAGCTCCCAGGATGCTGGTGTGCAAGTCATAATTATCATGGCTGCTTTGGGCCTTTCTCTCAGTGCCTCTTCAGAGCAGCCAGGGACAGGACTGAGCCCATCCCTGGTGGCTCAGGGACTGAGCCAGGGTGCTGCAGCAGGTGCTCTGTTTCCTGCCACTTGTGCTGTCCTTGCTTGTGGATTAAAGGATCTTCTACTCTTTCAGGCAGGCAGACTTAAGACCTGTAAAACCAGCACAGTGTTCTTTGAAAAGGCTCCCCAGCTGCTAAACTGACTTCTGCAGGGTTACATCATCCAGGCAGGACCTGCTGCTTTAAACTTGCACGGGATTAGCAGAGTCTGCATCTGTCCCAAAGACTGTGGCTGTGGCAGGTAAATGCCTTGGGTCAGATCTGTAGCTGGCTGAAGTCAGCCCAGCTTTGAACAGCTCCGAACTGTAGCTGCTGAGATTTTGGGTTGTGGGTTCTAGTTTGTAAATTATGTTTTTAGCTGCTTTACCTGACATGTTTCCTTTGTGGTATCCCTTCCATCTGCCGGGTTGAAATGTGTAGCAGCTATAAACAGAGGGATTTTTTTAGGGTTGATTTGCTTCTAAACTGCAGCACTCTCTTGATGTCGTAAACTTTTGTGCTGTTGTGCGTGCATGTAAATGTCACCTTCTGTGAGGGAGCTTCCTCTGACGCTGGCAGCATCCTGGCAATAAAGTTCGGATGGGATTTCATCCCTGCTTTATGAAGCGATAATCTTGCTTCTGTGTCTGGCTGCACTACAAAGCCAAAAGCTGTGGTGCAGCCTGCAAAAGGATGTCCTTGGTACCCTGGGGGCCCTGTTATCATTCAGCTATTAACTGGGGCTGCCTGTTCTGATGAGTGCTCATTTATACACAGTTAGCCGTGACCAACTGCTAATCCACGTGTCTGGACTGCAGCAAGTTGGCTGTGGTACAGTCAGCAGGCAGTTGGGAGGGGTATTAGGATTGTTGATCACACCTAAATTGTGTGGTGTGTTTGAATCTGCTGGCTTATAGGGGATGCTGCCACTGAAAAGGTGGATGCACAATAAATTGCTTGTGGTCTGGGCTGAATGTTTGTTCCAGCTGCTTTGAATTCTCCTGTCTCCAACACTGGCCCTAATTTGGAGTCTTATTCTATAAGCATCCTTTGATGTCATTGAGTCCTTGTGGGATGGGGCTGTTGGCTGGTAGCTACCTCAGGCTCAAAGAGAGGAATCTGTAATTTCCCATTGGACTTATTTGAATAGTAGATGGGATTTTTTGATTCTTTTCTTTTTTTCTTTTTAAGGGGAGGGAGTTTGTCTGTTGGATGTACAGAACACTAGCCCAGTAACAATGGAACAGGCTGTAAAGACAGACCTTCAATAATTAGCTGTGTTTCAATTAAGGCTGCAGCTGAATTTTAAACCTGGTCTGTAAGACTTTATTATGAAAGAGAATGCAACCTGTGACAACTACTCATAAGTCCTGAATAAATCAATAATGTCCTTGTTGCCTGTGGGCAAAGCTGACGTCTTCCTGGAGCATGATATCAGCAAAGCAATGCAATTAGTCCTGCAGTGAATTGCAGGATGCTGTTTGTCATGGAACAAGGTTGCTATTGCCAGCAGCAACGTGCTAGGAGGAGAGGGGAGCACTTTGTTTAGCTCTGATTGGCATACATGTGAAACATGAGGACAGTCTTAATAACTAGAGAAAGCCTGTGTGTTGACACTGGAACAGTTGCAGCTCACCCTGGGAGTCAGGGGCTGGCTGGGTGTGTACTTGGAGTGGACATGGGTGGCATTTGTGACTCATGGGCTGGGACTGAGGTTTGAGAGCCACCCTCTCAGACCTCTGCACTCACCAGGTCCCAGGAGAGCAAGAGAAGGCTCTGGAGAAAGTGTTAAGAGTAGCTGGGAGTTTACAGGCTGGTAGTCTGCAAGTGGCTTGTTACTGTTATACTCCATCATCCCAGAAAACTGTGAAGAGGTCAGCGCACACACACAGAGCCTTTGAGAGGGGAATGAAATTATTATTAATGCTTGGTTGTTTGGGTTCTTTCTCCCTGAGGAAGTATTTTTTAAAGCTTTCATTTAAGTTTACTGACAAAAAAAAGTGGCAACTTTTCTGTTTAGACATACAAAATTTAAGGGATTTGGGTTTTTTATGACCTCCCCCTCCCCAGCTTAAGTTAAAAATTCAAAACTTCTTGATGGAAAAATTACTGCTCAGCCATAAAGCAGTGCTTTTTGCTTAGTTATTTTAGGAGACAGGAGTGACTGACCATGTTTTCTGTAGGAATTTATTATTTGTTTTGATCCAGCTCTAATCTGTCACACCAGGAACTGTCAGTGAGTCAAGCCAAGATCTTCAGCAACTTGCAGATTCATTTATTTAAGAAGTAAAGGAACTTAAATTCAACAAAAACTCAGACCCAGAACTGCTTCCTATGCTTTGAGGTTCAAAGAAGCCCCTCCCAGGACAAAATCCTGACTACACTGAAGCAAGTACCAAAAGTCCTCCTGGATTTAGTGGGGTCAGCACTTCACCCAAGAGTTTGGGAACAGGCAGACACACAGCTCTTCAGTGCTGCAGCCAGACAGTTACAGTTCAGCTGCTGCCTCATACTGTGCTTGCAAGATGTGGTTTTTATTACAAGGCCATGGCCCTTGGGCAGCTCTAACTCACTTTTATATGGGAACTTTTATAGGGATTCATACATTTATTTATTGTGCTCATAAACACCCTCCACCCCCACACACACATTAGCTCTGCATCTGCTGCCTTCTGCAGAGCCTGCACCATCGCTGCCTGCTCTGCGCTGTCTCTGTGAAGAAACTGAGCTCTGAGCAGAGCAAGCTCTCTCCATCCCTCTGCAATCACTTGGGGTTTTCTTCATTTGTTCTTCAGGGGCCAAAGCCCTACTTTTTTGTTCATCTTCTGGTAAAGTTGAAAATGCGACAATCCCAGGAGCAGCTGCTGACAGTTTGGCGCTTCTCTGTGTTAATAAGGTTCGTTAATTGCCTTGCACTCAGACATGAGAACATCTCCCAGTCCTTGCTGAAGCCAGGTTGCCTGATGGTTGGAGAGTGAGTCGGCAGATGAGTGTCCTGAGGGGCTGTTCCTCTCTAGGGCGTCGGGTGCAGTTCTTTGCCACCATGTCCCCAGTGTCCCTGCTTTGGCAATGACTGCAGCTGGTGGGTGTTATCCAGCCCTTGGCTGGGCTGGGGGAAAGGGGCTGTCTAGGACAACAGTGTTTGTTCTTGGGACTGATCTGCCTTCTGAACGTGGCTTTTAACCTTGTTAGATGCTGAGAGATTTTATCATCTTCTCTGTTTCCCCATCCCCATTGCTGTTGAGATTTTGAGGGTGAATTAGCATTATCAGCCCTCATCTTGGAGTTCTCACTTCTCACCCATAGCCTGGTTTGTAGTCATGACAACAAACTTGTTTTAAATAGACACACAAAAAACTCTCCAAAAAGACCCTCCTTACTGCCTCAACACCTTGATCCTATTGCTTGTCAATCCAGGCTGTGTTTTTGTTGCAGCTGCTTTAGAAATCCTAGATTCCTCCCTGAGACTTGTACGTGGGTGTGATGGCAACAGATGAACAGAGTTTATGGGGAATGCAGAGAGATGCCAAGTTACCCAGCCTGTGTAGGCAGCTAATGGAAAACTTGAGCTCAGAAACAAGGCTGTAGAGATAGACATGCACTTGCCAGGAAGAGTTCAGTTGCTGACACTACCAGCAGTGGGTGCAGCTGAACCTGCTCCGCCATGGTCTCATAAAACATTAAAATACGCTTTAAAAGATGCTGACTTTGCAGCTGCCTTAAATCCAGGGCTGGTTCCTGCACAATTGAAATTGCAGAGCAATCCATAAAATTGGGGCAGCTATTATCATAGTTGGTGGTAACTGGGGAAGGGAATTATTTTCAACTTAATGATCTTTTATGTTAACTGTCCCTTTTCTCTGGGTAGCCTTTAGTGCAGGCAGGCAGAGCTATTTCCCATGCTGTAAAAGAAATTCCAGTTTATTTATTGGGGCACTGTTGAGCTAAACATGACCCTTCACTTCAAAATATTTCCCTGCCTATTGTTGCTGGCAAACCCCTGCCAGCTGTGGCTGCAAGACCTCTCCAGGCAGGTCTCACTGAGCTGTAGGCAGTGGTTTGTGCCTTGAGATTTCACCTCTTTTTTCCAGCAAACATCTTGTGTCTCACTGTTGGTTTGTTGGATCACTGGGAACAGGTGGCACACAAACTGTAATATAAAGAGTAGGAAATGATGGCAGTGACAGCAGCAGTGTAGCCAGGGGGGTTGAGCCCGGGGGTGTGTGTAGCCTTCAAGTCCTTGCCTGAATTTTGGACTGTTGCTGCCTTTTTAGTATTCATTGGGACATCCGTCCACATTTAAAAGGAGTGGTGCTGCAGATAGGAGGCTATGGAAACTACAATTAGGAAATAGTCATCCACTTGTTACTTCATCTGCTAAGGTGACTGGGGAGTCAGAGGTGCTGGTGGGAAGACTGTCCATGGTGATAAGAGATTAGCATCCAGGCCCCAAACCAGCGTTTGCCTCGTCTGCCATATCAGAGTGCTTCATCTCAGTGCTTCTGAGAATGTGACAGGAAATGTGTCCCCTTCTCCCCCTCTGCCAAGCTGTGTATTGTAAAGGGGAGAGACATTTTCAAATCTACAAGGGTCTCTTTACAATGCACAGAGGGGGTTCTGCATCTGCCCCACGCCTTGAAGTCTAATCTCATTTACAGTTGTCAGCGTGGGCTGCTGGAGGAGATGAAAGGCAGAGGACAAGGAGGGAGAATAGATTAGTCTGGAGCAGAGGGCACCGGGAGTGCACCTGCCCCTGCCCCGCTACC